GGCCTTAGTGGCAGCCTTATCTTCATGGTTTGACGTTAGGGCTCTTGCACTTGGCACCTCTGCCGCTTACTTTTTCTCTCAATTGTGGTAGGCTAAGAGAATCCGATGACGTTCTCAGCCATCACTGGCCAAACCTTCCTTTTACTGAAGTGCCAGAACCCCAAACTTTGAGATTAAACCATTCCAAAAAACTGTTTCCGGAAGATAAGATGGTGCCTGGATACTCCTGCCCCATACATATGTATTTTGTTCCTTTAAAGCAGGCGCACATTTTTTTGGGGGGGTCTTCATTTCCCCACAGATAACCAAGATATTAATAAAAGCCATGTTGCGCTATTTACTGTGCCACGAAGAACCCTCCATATATATTTTTCCTAGTATAAAACAAATGGAACTTTTTAAGTTTTTCTTGGTGCCTGTACTATTGGAGGTAAATGTGCCATTGACAAGTTCATTTGCTAAATATTTAGCCCCAGTAATTGAAAAACTGAAGTATATCCCCTTAGAGAACATATTATATGGTTTTGTACAGGAGACGTTGTACCCCATCACTGATAGATTGGAATTAGCAATTCATGTACCAGTGGAGACATTGCATGTGTTTTTGGTTTGTAATATGCCAGGAATGACGAGAGTATTTCAGTATGGTGAAACTTAAATTACTACGGTGAATGTTTCAACATTACTACCAGTGTCATTCTATAGCCATTGTTTAATACAAGGCTTTAATGCAAGGTTAACATACATATATCTTTCCATTTTATAGTCTTAAACAATTTATATAATAAATTCCATAGCACCCAACCGTCCTGGAATCAGCTGTACAGTCCCAATCTGGGACCTTGTCCTGCCATCCCAGGTTTGTTTGTATTTCTGGGTGTTCCAGAGAAAGGTTCCCCAACAAAAACAGAAGCATTTGCACCGCCCAAAATGTGCTCAAGGTAATCACTTCATACAAGATGGTTTCAAAGTGCATCCCTGAGTGTGGCATGTATGCCAAGCTGAAAAAAAAAAGATATCCTGTTTTTTGGACATAGTCTGCCCCTTCCTAGGACTGCTTCCTATCCACCGGGATGCATACCACATCACTGGCAAGCATTGTACTATGCCAGCTCAGTACAAATCTGCCTATACAATACATTCAGCAAAGCTCTCTGCACATGGGAAATTTGCTGGGCAAGTTAGGAAATGACAGCTAGGTAGACAGGCTTTGATTTTGGCCATGTTTTTTTTCAGTGAACTCTGACTATAGCCTTGCCTCCCTTGTCCCTTTTACATATATTGCACTGCTGGGAAGTGCAAATTATAGAACACTTAATCATATGCCTGGTTAACCGAAAAATGTATTGCAAAGCAGAATTTTAACAGAAAGAGGTATACAGATTTGTCAGATTTAATTCAACAACCAGTATCTCTTTATTCTATGTATCACTCTACAGCGTTCATCAACATTAAACCAAAAATAAGTGTCACTAATTTACATATAACTCTTCATATTTTGTTTTCTTGGGAAATTTAAGTTTTAAACACTTATAAAGTCACATCCTTCCAACCCAGTTTCGCCAGTTCTTTCAATTAAAAGATTTGACATTGTATCAGAGCTATTGCTCTCCCCGTCGCTACCCTCACTTTCCTTTTGAGACCAATTTATTTATCTTCCAGTTTTCCTAGTTTTAAGACACCTACAGCCATCTATCCCAATCACAGCAGATCGGTTTGCAATCAGGTACAACCACCACTGCAAGAAGTATACCCATGTGCAAAATGAGGCCAGTATTCTAAAAAACACCAAATCTTCATTCTTACATCATATCAACCATGTTGATGTCATGTTGCTTCTTCACTGTAGCAATTGGCCATAAGATATTGGAGGTATTATTCCTAAATTTGCATTTTAATTACTAGACGTTGGATTAGCTCAAATTCCTCTCAATAATCTGTCTGCTCAGTCAACAACTTTCTTGAGTTACTTCTGAGCTGCCACTTCCATCATCTTCACTCAAATGGACAAAATCCTCTTATGCCATAAATATCTGAACCACATGTATGTAAGTGTATTCTTCCATTAAACCACATGGGTAAGGTATAGAGTAAAGGAGGTCTCATTTAAATCAATGTAGTGGGACTGTAACGAACTGTGGATGTGTATCTGGGTAGAACCAAGTTTAATACCTGAAGTGCATACCCAGACCAGTCAGAAAGTAAGCAGTCCAGGAGACAGATTGTTAAAGTGTCTATGCTACATCAAGTTCGCTTAAATTCAGGTATACAAGTCATTAAATAAATGTTCAGATATAGCAGCAATTATATATATATATATATATATATATATATATATATATATATATACATATATATATATAGTATATATAACCTGAAACAAGGCAAGGCACTCCTATATGGAATTCCAATCATGAGTCAACTGGTCATAAGAGTTACTGTTGGATAACAAAACAAATGTGCATTGGAGGACTCCCTGGACTGGGGAATGAGGAAATTCAATTGGTACAAGTCCCTTTGTGGCAGGTGCACTGATCCCAATCCCAAGGAAATGTCATACAAAGGGTTTCAGGAAATAGAAGGTCAGATAGGCAAATTAGATATTGTGGTTCTGATGGCAGTGATGAGTCTTCTCAATGAATAGGTGAAAGAAAGGTAGCTCCAGGTAAATTTAGCTTCTCTCCAGAGAAGGTGGGTTGGATGCAACGTAAAAAGGCATTGGATGACTCAAGATGATACGTAGTGAGATAAGGATCCCTTCATTGATGGAGTTTCAGAGCTAGATATAAAATCATACTCAGAATTCCAAGCAGAGATCTTAGTGGCAACATTTTAGTGAAGTCACAGAATACATGGGAGAGGTATTCATTTTGAGTAGAGCGCCACAAGGGGCGGATTTCTGAAAAAAAAGAAATCTTTGCAAGTGTGATTTTCTTAAATCCATTAGCAGTCCATTAGAAACATCACCCTAATGGGAAAAAAGGTGAGCCAGGAAAAGCGAAGCTCTAATGGCTTATGGAGCAAGGTCTGGTATATTCAGATCCTCAGATTTAGGTTCAACTCCTGCTTGTGGGGTTAAATTTTAATATACATATTGTTTGCAATAATTTAAGAATCTTTAGGAGCAATATCCTAACAAGGACTATGAAATTGTTGCTGATTCACACCACATATTATGTGATCACTTTTACTGTTTTCAGCCTCTTTAGAATAAATAAATGGATTTGAAGTAAACATGTCTTTTAGCTAGTGATTAAAATCTCCAAAATATTAGGGTCTTCTCTGGGTCTCTGTGTACTAGACAGAGAGTAAAAAAAAAAACTTTGATAACAACATAGGAACCAATTAGCTTATAGCGGTAGGCAAAAAAACCCCTATTTTTTTGTCTTGTTCCAAGAAACACTATAAGCACAAAAACTATATTGGGCTGTAGTGGTTATGGTGCTAGGAGTGTTCTAGTGCCGCCCAATAAAAGTACTCAAATGGTTTTAGAATGTTTTCACTTCTTACTTGGGGTCTGCTATTTGCCACCCTACCTCCGCTGCAGGCTACATTACAGCCAGGAGCTCTCTGTCTGTGCTGAGCTCATTGGCTGAGAGTGATCAGCTGATGCTCTTAGGCAATAGCACTTGAGAGCTCCTTCCTAGCTGAGAGGAGTCAGGGAGTAGCACCCGGCAGTCCATAGGTTAGAAGCCATACTGTTACTTACAAAGGGAGACGCCAGGGCACTCTCCGGGTACCATAAGCACTACAGCACACTGCAATGGTTATGGAGTTTGGAGTGTTTAATTTCTCAGTACTCACGCCTAGGGGTCCTCACTAACCTCCTTTAATCCACCACCCTTTCCACAAGTTATAATAGGGTGAGTATCAAAATAACACAATTTAATATTAAAGGACCACTCTAGGCACCCAGACCACTTCAGCTTAATGAAGTGGTCTGGGTGCCAGGTCCAGCTAGGATTAACCCATGTTTATAAATGGGTTAATCCTTCCTCAAATTCCTCTAGCGGCTGTCTCATTGACAGCTGCTAGAGGCGCTTGCGTGATTCTCACTGTGAAAATCAAAAATGCTTGTAAATGTTTTCCTATGTGACCGGCTGAATGCGTGCGCAGTTCTTGCCGCGCATGCGCATTCAGCCAAATGGGAGGAACGGAGGAGGATCGGAGGAGGAGAGCTCCCCGCCCAGCGCTGGAAAAAGGTAAGTTTTTACCCCTTTCCTCTCCCCAGAGCCGGGCGGGAGGGGGACCCTGAGGGTGGGAGCAACCTCAGAGCACTATAGTGCCAGGAAAACGAATATGTTTTCCTGGCACTATAGTGGTCCTTTAAACACTGAATTTGAAATGGTGTAAGGATTAAGGATTCAGAGTTACCAAGAGGATTTTTTTTACAGAAGTCAGTCTTACAGGGTTATTTACTAAACCCACATTTTTTGCAAATGAAATCCAATTGGAAAAACATAGACACAAATAGTTGATCTGGAGAAATTCTCCAACTCAATAATAGTCACAACGTGGCTATTTTTGTCTCAGTTTTGCCGTTTAGACTTAATTCATGAAAATTCAGAATTTAGTGGAAAAACCCTGTTTGTTTTAGATTTAGTCTGACTTCACTAAATGCCATCTCTTCTATTGATGTGGTGACACTCGAATTTTGCTGTTGTCATGAGCACCAAATAAATGAGACCCAATAGTTAGAAAGTCATTATCATTTACTATTTTCAGTGTTCTATTGAAATCGTCCACTGTCAATCACTGCTTCAATAATAAATATTGCAAATATGTCGTAGCAAATTCCAAGCAAGTATACACTATTCACTGGGGTATAAAAAAATCACTGGGAAAAAAATGTTTTTTTATCATGGAGTTTTATAGTTCTTTTTTTTCCCCCTCTTCATAATTCAGAGCTTTGGAGGATTCGAAGCAGGGACTGGAGAGAAAAATCAAGAGGAAAGGAAGGGGAAGGGGGGGAGAGGAGGAGGAGGGACAGAAAGCCAGATAAAACGGTAAGCAAAAACCTTAGATGCACGAGTCTCCTAGCTTCTCCAACCTTCAGTGGATTTGTTCATGGGATTGGAACAGCCCGTATTCCAAAAGAGCTTCTTGTTTGAAAATCAAACTGCAATATTAGGACATTGCTTAGAGCTTACTCTTAATGTTACAAGTTCTCCATTTCTTCCAACTGAAGACCAAACGTCCAATGTATGCTGAATTTGGACACTCCTCAAGGTGATTATGTTTTATGTATTTTACTTTAAAGATGCTTATTTGATAACTGACAGCTCGTGCTCCTAGTAGGATTGTGAAAGCCATATGTGGTTATTTATAAAGTTAGCTAATAGAAGCCAGAGGAAAGGTTATATAATTCAGAAACAGCTGTGCCAAGCGTAAAAATAAAAAGTGGGCAGCCTGAAATCCTTGGAATAGTTTATAATCAGGGCTTATTATTTACATGTAGACTTCGAATATATTAAAATAGAATAAAGTGGGATTTCACAGAATATGCAATATATTAATTCCAAGGTCACGGTACAGTTGAGACAAGGTTTTCAGTTTACTTCTTCTATTTAAAGAGACCCTGCCAGGCAAAAAATATGACAGACCCCCATTTTAATATCCTTAAAATTTAATCTGTACAATGTGTAAGCCAAGTGGTAAGCATTTTTTCTTTAACCCCTTAAGGACATATGACATGTGTGACATGTCATGATTCCCTTTTATTCCAGAAGTTTGGTCCTTAAGGGGTTAAAAACATAATTGAGAATTGACTGCTTAGGGGCTTATTCACTAAGCACTGAATTGTATCGAACCAATTTTTTTCAGATTAGCACTTTTTTGTCTATGTTTTGCCGTTCACTACAATGCAATGTTTAGTAAATAAACCCCTTGGTGTTAAAACTCACTCTAGGATGCTGGACTACTTGGCATCTGTATCAGCCACTTTTGTGATCCCAAATGTTTTACATTCGATTATTCAGATGTTTAAATCCACCACTGTGACTATCAGAGAAAGCAGCAACAATTTATCTCGACAAATCAGTTTCAGCTAGGACGAACAAATCAAATGCCTTTTAATCTGTGCCCAAACTAACAGATCCATCTGACTCCACACATAAATCCTGGACTGGTCGATTTGTTGAGGCACAAATTAAAAGGCATTTGATCCGTTCGTACATGATGACACTAAAGTCTACTCACCACTATACTGATCACATATTTTGTGCCTTCCCAAAGCTGACTTCCATTCACACACATGATTTGTGGATGACTGTGTCCCTTTAAGAGGTCAAAAAGACAATTCGCCCTATCTTGGAGGGCAAAGGGTCTAGGAAGCATTGTTGCAGCAAACTGTGTAAACGATTTATCATTTATCTAATATACCTATTACATTGTTTGTGTACAGGGGTTGTAAACACAAGTTAATAATTCGGACAGACGGGGGGAGTGGTTAATAATAATAATAATTTGATCAGATGGGATGGATTAATAAGGTTATGGGGTACTATTATTAATGCATTGCTTTCTCTATTTACATTAAAAAGTTATTGGAGTAAAAGTCTTAGCTTCCTCTTTGACATATAAGATTACACCAAAACTCCAAGTTGTAAAATAAAATCTGTATGTCTCATTTTTGCTCAAACTTGCTTATTTACTAATATATAACATAAAGGCAAAATGTCACATTGAAGGATTTTTAATATTATGTTACTTTTCACTATATTTAATAAATACGTATAAATAAAAAAATACGTAAATTTGCTACAACTGGGCACCTCCATTTTAGCTGCCTGTCAATCATTATCATAAACTCTGTCCTTTGCACCTGGCAGTCAGATTATATAAAGCATACAGAAAAAAGGAAAAATATATATATTTTTTAAATGTATTCTCTTTATTTGCAATGTTTGCCCTGGCTTCACCTTGTCTTAATGAGATTATGGAATTGCCAAATCGTATTATTATAAAAACACAAACATGAAAAAATGAAACAGGGTTAAAACAAGTTATAGGGATATTCAATGTTTACCGTATTGTTTCCAGGGAAGTGACCATGTCTCTTTAATACTGTCAAGTATTTTCGACCATTTGTTAGTTGGTGAATATCACATTCTTTTCTATATCGTATTCTTCGTTTTGCTTATATTCACTTTTTATTTCAGAAATGATAATCTAGTTTTATATAGTACTTTACTCCCCAAGGAGAATCAAAACCCTTAGTGCACAGCTACGGATTTTCTTAAATGAGCCTGTGACTAATTCATGTTGCTATTTCCCAAATTAATCATAGCCACTCTATAATTCCCAGTGAAGAACCTCTTCATAATCACTACTTGTTGCCAAATATATCTCTTTGATAGAGTGCGTTTGCTGGCAAACATTTAGAACTGAAATGGTTACTAAAGCCGGAACTGGTACTTTAATACAACAAATTGATACACAGTATCAATTCTTTTTAATTCAAAAATCTTTGAACTGTGTCCTCAAAGGCCAGATTTAATAGCACAATGCAACTCAGCTTCAGGACAGAATGCACTTGAGACTGCAAAGTTCACAGTATATTAGCTAATGCATTATAAATACAGCGTTCCGATACAAATGCGTGCATGGTGTTTTAAAAGGATTAATCTCTATTAATCAGCAGCAGATGAATTGTTCAAAGATGTCATAAGCTTTTTAAACCGGTGTTTACAATTGTGAAGTTCTGTGTTCTATGTGGTAGTGCTATAAAATTTATCATAACATCAACTAGCAAATAAGCATTTGTTTTATCTTATGAAATGTACACAAAAGCACCTCACAGCTGAGATTCATTTTGAAGCCATGCTACCAATTTCTAGGGCAGCGTTATGTGTTCCCTAAGTAAATATGTATATGTATACCTTTAAAGGAACACTATAGTGTCAGGAATACAAACGTGTATTCCTTACACTATAGTTCTAAAACCGCTGTTTAGATCTACGGCCCAGTTCCACAGTTAAAAAGGTCAGTATTGTCGTGGCTGGCTCCGCCCCACTCTTCCTCCTTTGCAGAGATCATCAAATTTGACAATCTCAGCCAATCCGATGCTTTTCTATAGGAAAGCATTGCGAGGCTTTAGCGCATGCACAACTGCGCCAGTGAGCATCTCCTCAAATAGATGCATTGAATCTCTGAAAAGGCGGTGTTTACATTAAAAAGCCTAAAGGAACAGGCTGTACACACCAGAACAACTACATTAAGCTGTAGTTGTTCTGGTGACTGTAGTGTCCCTTTTAAGAAACAAGAAGCTGGTGGGTGCATTGTTGCAGTTAATGCACGATAAATGGCTTTCACCTCTACATAATGGAATTTTATGAAACTGTCATATACATACCAACTTGTTAAAGTTGAGACAGTGTGAAAATATGGGGTCTTTGCTGCTCTCTCATCAATTTTAGAGATATAATAATGATGATGATGATAAATCTAAGAATTGTGAATTAGAAACTGAATGTAAGAGCTTATATATGTTGCAAACTGACCATTTAACCCATTAAGGACACATGACAGAAATATTCCGTCATGATTCCCTTTCATTACATAAATTGTGTCCTTAAGGGGTTAAAATAGTGTAGTGTATTCAATATATATTATTTTATGATGTAGTAACTGGAGACCTATAATAGATATATTATAAAAGCTAGATTAGATTTTTTTTGGTCCTGGTTAATGTTATGTACACTGATTCAGAGTTAAATTTCTAGGGGAAAAAGTGAGGGAACTCACTCAAGAGTTCCACCATCCCAAGATAGGTAAAATCCCCTGTGTTTGTTTTGCACAGTGCAAGTGAATTTAATGACAGGCTCGAACTACGTTTGCTGGTGTCTTGTCTCTGGTGTCCCCATAAGTGGAATACCGAAGAACAAAACTGGTCAGGGCTGGTGTGTGCAAAAGTAGCTGTTTGTGGTGAAGTGTGTGTCAAGGGGCCTGTTTATGGTGTAGTATGTATGCGCGTGTACCTTTTTATAGGACCTGTTGAGTGTGTGCGTGTATGTTTAGTGTTGTTGCATTATGTGTGTGTATCAAGAAGCTGTAGTATGTATGCATATAGCGGTTTTAGTGTCAATGTATAGGGCTTAGGTGTATGTATAGGGGTGAGGTGTTGGTAAAGTGTATATGTGTGGGAGTTTACTGCATTTATGTAGGGAGGTGTACTTTGTGGGGAGTAGGATTGTACTGTGTGTGGGTGTACTGTGTGCATACACCCACACACGCACAGACCGACCCATACAAATGTTCCATACACACAGACTGATCCACCCATATACACACACACACACACACACACACATTAACCCATGCAAACACATTGACCTATACAACACACACTGACCCCTACACACACAGACTGACCCATACAAACACACATAGACTGAACAATCCACACATAGACTGACCCATACAAACACAAACTGTCCCATACACACAGATTGATCAATCCATACACCCACACACACACACAAAAATGGCCCATGCACACACCTTGACCTATACAATACACACTGACCCATACACACACACACTGACCCGTACAAACACACACAGACTGTTACACACACAGACAGAACAATACACACATAGACTGACCCATACAAACACACAATGACCCAACCATACACACGCAAACTGGCCCAAACACACACACACTGACCCATACACACAGACTGACCCATACAAATGCACAGCGACCCATACAAACACATACTGGCCCATAAACACAGACTGATCTATACATGTACACACACTGTGTGACCCATAAAAGCACACACTGATCTATCCATACACAGACTGACTCATTCATACACGCAAACAGACCAATATAAACATACACAAACTTGTCCATACAAACACACACACTGACCCATACAAACACACACTGACCCATACACAAACACACTGTCCCACATACACAAATGTACTCATACAGACACACACAGACCCATACAAACACAGAATGACCCATACATACGCACACTGAACCAAATACACAGACTGACCCCTACACACACTTACTAACCAATACACACACAGATTTACCCATATACACAAAGACAGACCCATATACACACACATATACAGACTCATACACACACCAATTGACCCATACAAACAGACAGATCCATACAAACACACAATGACCTATACACACACAAACTGACCCATACATACACACAGACTGACGCATACTCACACAGACTTAACCACATATG